CTCTCTCTTTTTCTCTCTCTCTTTTTCTCTCTCTCTTTTTCTCTCTCTCTTTATCTCTCTCTCTTTATCTCTCTCTCTTTATCTCTCTCTCTCTCTCTCTCTCTCTCTCTCTCTCTCTCTGTCGCTCTCTCGGCTCTGTTCTCTTTCTCCCACCACGTACACCTCCCCAATTCCCTTCCTAGGTCTGGGTGGGGCGGGGAACCCTGCAGCTCTCAACTGTTGCAACTCTTCCTGGTTCAAGGTTTCTTGTCCTCTCGTGTTGTAGGCCGAAAGCATGATTCTCTCTCCACTCCACTCTTCTGTCTCGTGCCATGCTTTCGGTGGAAACTCTACTACTTGCCCTCTGGTGGCGTGCACGCGCCCCCTAGACGACCTCACCATGCGCGGTGTGGTCCGAGACTCCAAGGGAACCTCAGTGGCCTCTGTGAGGCCCATATCCTTAGCCTGCATTGTCTCCTGGATCCACGATCCACCATTCTGGTACTTCCCAAGCCCGAGAACTACGTTGGGTTGGTTCGCCTGGTTATGAACATCTCTATGGATCGGCATTCGGTTGTTGAGATTCAGAACCAAAGACGTCCGCTTCCGAGGATTTTTCATTCTCTTTGACAAGAACATGTTAATGTACTTGAGGAATTTGGGAAACTGCGTAGTAGAGTTGCAGACTCCATGATTGGCTCCATACGAATACGCTCCAAAGGCATGGTACTGCACACGCTGTGACCCGAACTTACCTTCCCTCGAAATCCTGGCTTGCCAACTCATCCCTTTAATTAAGGCTTCACACGCTTCCAGGCTGAAATCCTGCCGCTTCATGAGCTCTTGAGCTCTGCTCTCCACCTTGTAAATCTCCTCCTTGGAGTACATCGCTTCTTCGGGTTGGGGTTCCAAGTCCTGGGGATCTTCCTGAACCGCCTGGGGACTAGGGTCCTTCTTCAGCCCTGAAGCCTGACTATTCTGAAGACAAAACCCACAACCTGACTTTGACACCCCTTCAATCTGGTCGCGCTGACAGGCCAGGCCGTCTCCAAAGGTCTCAGGTAGCTTGCTGCGGCCCTGACATTCCTGATACACCGAAACATGGTCTAACTCCAACAGTAGGGCTTTCGCCGCGCGTTCGGCATAGGCTCGGGTGTACCGAGCACTCTGTGTCGACATCTCACCATCGCATCTGGCATGTTGGTACGTTTTGGGACACCTACACGCACACTGAATCACCTCAGCAAGACGGGCGTGTGTCGTGAAGATGCGCCAGCCTTTCTTCGCCAGAGGTTGCTCTGACCCACTACGTAAGCCTACTTGACACCCATGCGTGACGGCAACAAACGGCTGAAACTTCTTCTGGAACTGCTGCACACGTGGCAATCTCCATGCATCCGAACGCTCTGGCATCTCCCACACGCAATGAATCTCTTGCTGGACACAGTACGCGTATACAATGCTGGCTCCTACATAGGCTTTCTGAGCCTGCTGTCGCTTCCGCTGTAGCTCTTCTTTTTGCTCGGTGCTCCGGGCGTTGGCGTGTTGTAAGGGAGAAAACGGTCCACATGGTGGGGCAATCCACACCATACTTGGGCACTCCGTCCCAAGTCGCTCCAAAATGAACTTTACACCCTCAGTGGTGCCAAGGTCGGCACCGTTCTACACTGACAATCGCTGGGCCGCTTCGGCCCATCCTGTCTGTTCTTGGACAACGGAAGACAGCAGACTATCCGCATCACACCCCAACTCAAGCAACACCAGCCTACCATACGAAACCAAAGCCTGAAGCAACCCCGGAACCAGTTCCCAGGAAGCCGTCTCCAGTTCACTGGCCCTCCCAGCACTCAATTGAGTGCCTTGGGCCTCATACATTTTAGTCTCAGCGTCCTGGGCCTTGGCCCTCACTGCTGCTCGATCTTCTTCCGAGGTGCTCTCGGAGTGTGGCTTGCGGCTTTGCGTCGGGGACGCTCCTCTCGCATCTCCGCCACGTCCTCCTGCCCGTTCTGCGCCACGCCGGCCAACTGCTGGAGCACATTCATGATCTCGGTGGAGGTCGCTGAGCTTGCGGACCCCTTGCTGCTCTTCTCGGCCTGCGAGGCACTCTTGGGGTTCTTGACCAGGAGGTCCTCGATGCTCTTCTCCTTGGGCAGGGGTGGATTCTGGCGTAGCCACGTCGCCAGGCGTTTGAGTCTGAAATCGCACTCGTTGCTCTCGGCGTCGGTCTTGAGCATCCACTCGCGGTACCCCGGCTGGTAGCGATTGATGTCCTGGTACTCCAGGGAGGCGAACTTGCCGAAGCCCACCACATCCTCCACAGCCGCCGGAGGCCACACGATAGGCTTGCTGAAGCGCCAGCCGTTCCATCTGGGCCACCGTCTCCGTGCCCTTCAGCCGCAGGTTGAGCTTGGTACTGGCCTTGTTGATCTTGTGCACCCACTGTTGCAGCTCGGTGCCCGAACGCTTTGAGGAGCTTGCCCCCTCCAAGGTGGGGTCCAGTTCCATCAAGCGCTGCCTCAGCTCGAGCTTGGTCCATCGCTCGGGTGGATTCTCCCCCTTCTTCCGCAGAAGGGCCTGCAACTCCTGCTTCTTCATGTTGTTGAGCGACATGCTGGCTCGGGTCCTCGAGGGTGCTTTCGTGACTTGGGCCGGAAGTGCTGCTGCCGAACTCGCGCTGCTTCTCGTGTCGATCGGCTCCCACGTGGCACTTCTGCAGGTTCGAGGAAGAGAAAAATTCCCTATCACCCTCACCCACACTAGTATCTTTGAAAAGGTTCCTACACTCTAACGACTGCTGTTCAGACACACGAATCCTTCCACGGTCTTTCAGGCTCAGACAGCGGAAGGAGCTGTCCCTAATGCAAAAAGGTCTTCAAGTCAGGAATGGCGCGATTGGCCACCTCTGACTGCGCATACATGTCGCCACTTAGCGGCAAAAGTTGGTGCCCACTCTGAGATCGTTTCGCCTTGATCACTCGGCACGGGTCGATCTCCCGGAAAACACTGAGGTCGTTGGCGAAGTCGATGATCGCCCCCAAGGATCTCAAGGAAGCCACGCTGAGGAGGATGGGGCCGGATCCTTGATCCAGCGCGTGGATCGTGAGCCGTCCGTTCTTGGCCCCGGCTTTGATGCCCACTTCCACTGTAGACACACGTCTGTTTTCCGAACTATTCCCAAAAGAGAACGTCGGCTGGCGCTGTGTGTCCACCCCAAGGAGCTTGGTCGTTCCTTCCACCGCCTGGTTGCAATCCAATACACTCTGGACCGCCTGCACGCTCCCAAAGTCTTGGTTGCCCCTCCATCTACCACACACCAGCCGCGCTGCATCGCTTCCTGAGTTGTCAAGCTGAGGTCGTCAGCCTCGTACGCAGAAAGGGCGGCTTCCTTGGTAGTCGTAGGGAAGGCCTCCTCACCATAGCAAATGAAGGGGGCCGACTCGGCCTCGCCATCTGCCATCATCGCCTGTTGTGCTTGCTCTTTCTGCGGGCAATTGGCCGCCCGGTGGCCGATCTTGCCGCACTTCAAGCACTGCATGTTGGCATCGTTCGGGGCCCAGGTTCTGGTACTTGATCCGGAGGACGTCGAAGACCGGTGGTTTCCACCGGGTCGGAAATTTGAGCCCGAAGTCTTGAAATACTGGCGGGACATCTTCACCGGTGCTGTTTGGAGCGTGCCTCCTTCAAGGTTCTCTTAGCATTCTGCATCGTTGCTAAAGCCTGTTGGGCTTCAGCCTCCGCCTCAGCAACCAAGGCCTGCCCCTCCTCATTCAAGTCCTCTATGTGGTAGCCCTGCCGGAAGTCCACCTCGTAATCGTCGATGTCCTCGTCCATCTCCCCGAGGTAGCCGGTGTGGGTTCGATGTCCTTCACGTTGTCGTAGATTGTGATCGTCCCGCTGGGCCCGTAGCTCACGGGCCACATTCTGTAGGGAGTAGTTGCCGTGCACCGCCGTGTGGATCAGGTTCCTCTCCGTCGAGTTGAGGCCACTGTCAAACAGGAGGAACCACCCTGAATGAAGTCAGGGAGAATCTCGGCGCGGACCACGGTGGCCTCGGGGTACCTGGTTCACTCCCGTAGGAAGAGTTGTAGTAGCTGGGCTGCCAGCTCCACTGGGAGCCCCATCGCTCGCCCTGCCATGACCATCCTCCTCCCCAGCCGTGCCAACTCCACTGGTTGTCCTCCTCAGCCGGTTGCTGAGGTTCCGGATTCTCTGTAGCCTCAGTTGGCTCCTCCCACAGGAGCGGCAGACCTGGCCGCCACGCTGCTGTTCGAGTCCAAGCTTCCTCGTCGGCTCCATGTAGTAAAGCCTCCCTCGCCCATCTGCCCTTGCGGCTTCTCCGGTTTCACTTGTGGAGGTAGGGCTCGGCAAAGAGCTTGCTGAGCTCGAAGATAAACTTCACATTTCTTCGTGATGTAATCCGACATCGACTCCTGAGCTTTCCGCTTCGTCTGACGGAAGTAGCGGGTGAGGTAGTCCGCCAACTCTGACACCTGGGGAGGTCCAAGACTGGCTCGGAGAGTGTTCAGGAGTTCCTGAACACCTCCCGCGTAGCTGACCCAGTCGGGTCTCTTCCCAAGCACCAGCGTTTTCGCTGGCCCCTGTAGCTCGCCGATCAGCCGAGGGCCAACCATGTACCGTTTGTGATACGGTACACTTTGCTCGTACAACAGGCACTGCTCCTCGTACTCCGTAAAGGTCGAAGGTTCGCCCGACCATTGTGGCACACCATCCTTGCTCTTGGT